CAGAAACTCTGGGGCTGGGTCCCAGCAATCTATTTGAAAAGACCCTCTGAAAGATTCTGGTCATGCTCAAATTTGTGACCCACTGATTTGGGAAGGTGTTCTCAACCCTGGCTGGACATTGGAATCATCTAGAGAGCTTTAAAAATTCAGTTGCTTGGTTCCCAACTACAGAGTTTGGCATTTAACTGATTTGGCATACAGCCTGGATATCAGGATTTTTCAAAGCTCCCCAGGGGATTTTCAGGTGCATCCAACGTTACTGCTGTTCTATCGAACCTGTTGAAATGCCCACATACTCCTTTCTCCTGGGTGGGGAGGTGAGGAGTGGGAGGCGTGTGTAGTTTAACAGAGCCCCCAAGTGATCTGCTGCAACCATCAAACCCTGCGTCCCCTTGGAGAACATGACCTTAAACTACCAGCCTCAAGAAATGTCCTTGATAGGGCTTTTTGTAAACTGAATGAATATTCACTCAATGTGATTTGTTTTAAAGGTTGCTTTTAATGCTATATTTGTTCAGCAAATGTAGGCACTCATATAGCACAAATATTAACTCCTAAATCCTCAAAGGCTTTCCCCACGTTGTGCCATCTGGCAGACATTATTGTAATCATCTCTTTATTATCCACACTAATGAAGGACTAGCATGGCATTGGTAATTGAACAACACAGATCATTTAAAAATCATTCAGGCTAGTGCCTGCCCTGCTTTCCCAACCAGGAAGCAGTTAAGAATAGAAAATATTGACTGATTACAGTTTCTTATCTTCCCTGTGGAGGTACTAATACATATTATTTTAGTCAGAAATTTGAACAACAGGAGAAGTGAGAGGCTTCTAAATTATAATTTCTTTTTCTGAATAAAGGAGTCTGTTTTCTCCATGAGAGGCCAAAGCACAAAGCAGATAAACAGCAAGTATCTTTAAAAGGCATTTGCATCTTGAACCAGTGGGTTCAAAGCGTGGTGGAGTGGAAGCTGCATGGGTTTTGAAGAATCAGTGGATCTGGCTTCTAGATCTTATTCTGATATGACCTATGTTATTTGAGATGAGCCATTCCAACCACCAGTGGGTCTCAAAGTGTGATCCCCGACCCACAGCGTCTGCATCACCTGGGAATTTGTTAGAGATGCAAATTCTCCACCCTACCCCATCCCTCCTGAGTCAGAGACTCTGGTGATGAGGCCAGCAGCTGATGCTTTAGGAGATTTGGATGCCTGCTCAAGTGTGAGCACCACTGCTCTCTACCAGGGCCTCAGTTTTCTCATCTATAAAAGAAAACAACCAGCTAGATTATGTTTGGGGTCCATTTCAGCTCTCCCGTGGTCTTGGTGTATGGGCCTGGAACAGGTTGAAAGATTCTCTGTCTTAGACCTTGAACTTTCCCTTGGATGTGTGATTGAAATAATTCAGCTAAAAAACTGGCTTGTGGGTAGCAGAAGAGAAACAGATCTCCAGGAATTCAATACCCAAACCCCACATAGTGGGCTCACTATAAAATAAATCGTGCTGTCTTCAGCTGGTTGGTACCATCTTCCCAAAGTGAAAAACGCTGGCACTTCGGAAAGGGAGGCAGCCGTTCCCCCTTTCTCCAGGGCCTGAGAGCTGTCTGATGTGATTCACGGAGCAGACCTTCTGCAGGAACTAACAAATGGCGTTTCAGAAGGATGTACAGAGGTACACAGGCTTTGCAGTAAAACAAGGGAAGATTTCAAGCCATTTATCAAAGCTCTTGCAGCTTCCATTTCAAAACAGGTGGAAAAAAATAACATGGAACAAGAAAGGAAAATAAATCTGTATCCAGAGCGTCTCATAAATAAGAAAGGAGTGGGGGAACTGTGGGCCTTGCCGGGTTCTCAGAGTATTTTTGTCACAGTATAGAAAGCTTTCAAATGTGTTGGCATATAATTCCTATACTTTTTTGGTTCTCAAAATCTGTGGTTGTAAAATTACTTCACTGGCTATTAAAACCAAAAAAGAAAAAAGAAACAATCATTCCAAGGAGAGAGAGGCTGGGAAAATGATACCTGGAGTTAAAAAAAAGAGAGAGAAAAAAATAAGAACATAATTCACCCACAACTACAAAATAATTTTTTTTTCATCTGAAATGCGGTGATGCTTCATGATTTAGGGCAAGGCAGGAAAAATCAAAGGCAATTTTCTAATTGGCTTTTGTTTAGTAAGACTGTTTGCTGGAGACAATAAGACATGGTTTATTGAACGTGAGAGAGACTTTGGTCTGCTGTGTCTGGGAGGGATGGAGAAATCATAGCTTTTACTAAAAAGGATGGATCACAGGCCCACTTTGCCTGAGCGAATAATATTGATTGAGGGGAACAACTGAGGACCTGCATTGGACATCTTTGTGAAATTCCCAGCATGTCAGGTTGATCAAAAACTTGATGCTAAAATCTTGGTTAAAAGCCTTTATTCTTAGTTCAAATTCTGGCTCTGCCACATACCAGCTCTGAGACTGGGCAAGCTATGTGGATGCTCAGTGCCTCAGTTTCCTTCTCTGTCAAAGGAGGATAATAATAAAACCTACCTTGTGGAAGTGTAATGAGGATTAAGAGTGAGCATATGCAAGGTGCTTTACACAATGCCTGGCACATAGTAGGCATTTTATTTGGACTATTTGCTAAACAGCTATATGGTTCTTTAAAAGAATCCTAAAAATAAATTATATTTAACTGTAAGACCTTTTGAAAACAGCAGTGCCCTATTTGGTACCACCAAGGTGTGCTTAAGGAGGGTTGTGATTGATAGAAGGAGGCATCGAGGGGATCCTGGGAGCACAGTTCAGACAAGACTGATGACTCTTGAGCCAGGGGGACCTTCTCCCTGGTCAACTTCACTAACACATAGCTTTGGAGGTTGTTCGAACTAGATTCAGAGAAACTAATTTTTGTCATTTGATTTCCTTTTTGTGTATTTATTTTTGGAATAGACTCATAGATCAACACTAGAAATTGGTCTGAAATAAGTGTCATGTTTTTCTCTCTTACGTGTGGCACGCTCTCCTTTGTTGGCTGGACCATGCTGTGTAGCAGCTAATATTGATTAGCCTACATTTTCTCAAATAAACTTTTTTTCAGGCTATGGGAGGTCTAAATGCTAGCAGGACCAAAATAAATGCACTCAACTCATAAACTGGTGGTAAGGAAAAGAGTAGGAATGAAAACGTGCTGAGACCTATTGTCCAAATAAGGCATTGCCTGCTCTGCCAAGTCCAAGTCACGAGGCCCTAAGCAGGCTTCTTATTTCATAGGAGCTGTAGTTTCCTCATCAACAAAATGGGGAAAACAATAGTGCCTACTGCCTATTTATTAGATGAGATGATACATGTAAAATGCAGACTAGTGCTAGCCCCCAGAAAGTACTCAACAAATATTAACTTATTAAATGTTACTTGTATTCATAAAAATCTAATGTGTCAAAGTCAAAATAATAAATTTATGCATAAAGGGGAAATTCCACTATTCTCTTCTAAGGAACTAAAAATACTATAAAATCTTTAATTGCAAGTTACTTTTTAGACTAAATCTCTGATCATTTATTTCCAGCATTTTGATTTTATCCCCCGCTATTGAATACAAGCCTGACCCTCTTACTCCTCAATGAGTATCAGATTAAGGCTAAACCCCACTGTGTTTCTTGTGCCCAGTGATTTTCATTTTCCTTACAGTTGTATTTATTTTATGAGACTTATCTTTCTTACCATAAGTGGTAGTACTATGGTATTTTAAAAACTTTCCAACATCATAATAAATGAATCAGGATAAAGTGCTACAATCACAGATTGAAGTCACTGCACTGACCAGCTTGCTATGGCGATAAGGACAGGGCTGCTGTTGAAACTGTGGAACTGTGGCCAGCAGGCAGCACCAATGTTCTATAATTTTAGATGTTGTTTATTAGCTCATAAAACATTTTTCAAATCAGCATGGAAAAGACAGCTTAGATGTGCTCTTGAATAATGTAGAAAAGTGCTGGTTGTTTGAACCTTGAACAAGTGAACAAGAAGGCCTTCTTATACTGGAATTAGAAAAAGTTGCAGTTAACCAAAATTTCCCTGGCAAATTAGAGAATCAAGAAGTTTATTAAGAAGAATTCAGGGAGAAAACAAAAGTATGTAGTTTCATACAAATTACTTAGATTATGAGGTAAAAGCAGTTTTCTTTAATATCTCTTTAACATTTCTTTTTCATGTCTTTAACAAAAAAATGACTTCCCTGAAATCATTCACCATTCAGATCTGGATTTTCAGGACAGACCATGGTGATCATTTTTGACAATTAACGGTGGAGAGTGGTGTGCTGCCCTGAGCAAGAGTCTTGTGGTGTTTACTGGGTGATCTGGAGCATATGGAGAGGTTGTTGGGCATGTTTGTAACTAGTATTTTTTCTTCGTGGTTTTTGGCACTGTGCGTGGTGACCACAAGTCCAGAACCCTCCCTGAGAGCAGGAAGATGTCAGGACCCTGTGGACATCTGAATTTTGCCAAGTGTCTCTGCTCAGAGGCCCGCAGACTCTGTAACTCTGCATGGTTCACGAAGTCACTGGACAGGTGTGGCCATACTTAACCCTCACACACGAGGATGAGGAAGTTAAGGTGCAGAAGGGTAATTGTCAGAGATGTGGCTTCATCCCAGGTCTTTCTCCCCACATGCTATTAGTTCCATTACAGCACAGCCACCAGAAATATAGTTTTTACATTATTATTTTCTTTTTTCCACAATGTCACATGTCTAAGAACAATTGTATATGTTGATCTTCGGCTGAGTTTCCTAACCCTGGGTATAAAAGCAGGTTTTGCTGCCCCTGTAGAAGAAAACCCCCATCACCACCCCAATAGGTTTACAGGGAGATAGAAAATGTCGTCCAACTTGATTATTTGAAGCTTTCCTTGTGGTATTTTGGTCTTCAGGAGGGAAACCAGATGTCTGGTGGTTGGTGAAATCTGCTGAAGAATTAACCTGATCAAACATTTTGCTTTAATCACAGAATCATGTCAACCCTGCCATGGACTTTACCCAGACCCCTCCCGGGATGTTAGCCCTGGACAACATGCTGTACTTTGCCAAGCACCACCAGGATGCCTACATCCGGGTAAGCACACAGCCCCTTTCAGCTATTGTAGGTTTCCTGCTAACTTTGAATTTCACATTTACGGACATAGAGGGATTACCTTTAGATGAGTGGCCCCAGATTTTTGGCTTTCATGACTCAGTAAAGATTAAAATTAAATGAAATCAATCAAGGGCACTGCAAAAGGGATTTTTAACTTGTAAATTTTTTTCACATGATGACATTTAAAAAAATACAATAGATACTGGAAAATATTTGGTATAGTTCAATATTGAGTTATGGCAAAAACTCTTAGACTTAAATAACGAGAAGAGAAACGAACCATCTACCCAAAATCTGCACAATCTCAACTTTAGTGGAAACCCCTTAGATTTATTCAACTTCTTGAAAAGAAGCCCAAGATTCTCTCTGGTACTATTTCTGTTCAATCTGATGCTGGAGATAGAATAAGATAAACAAAAAGCAAGAGAAGAATGGGAGAGATGAGGAGGGAAAAGAAATGCCTTCTCTCATTTCATATTAGACTAGTGAAACTCCAGCTACCAAGGGAGATTCCTTTGTGGGTGGGGCAGAAGGAAAATAAAAGATGCCACCTTCCAATGGGGCAGTGCAGGTGTGGGAAGGACCAAGTGTGAATGAACGGGAGAAGAGGCACAGTGACACAGAAGGCCTGCCCTTCAGGGCTGCTCCACTGGAGGCCCTGGATTCATGCTGACACCTGTCCTATGTCTTCAGGGAGAGGAGCCCAAATTCAGGTGGGGTGAGGTATCTCGATCCAAGACTGAGATGGAGGAGGATAGGAATAAATGGGACAAGGGAATTGGCGAGTGTTTAGAATGATGAATAGATATAAGCTTAGAAAATGTTTAATGAATGAATTGCGTAATGCAGGGAGTGTGAGGCTGAAATTAGAATAAGGTAAGAGTCTGTTACTCTGACATTCTCTGTTGGATCCCTCTTGGCAGCACTGGCTTCCTAGAGACCAGGGTTCGAGACCTGGCACTGTCATTATCTAGTGATGTAAATGTGGGCAATTCCTTTTGTCTGGGCTAAAGTTTCTTCTCTAAACAAGGGAGCAGTATTCCCCCAGGGGGCATTTGGAAATGTGTGAGTGTGTTTCTTTGGTAGTCACCATGCCTAGTGGGGTGCTACTGGCCCAAATCTGTAATACATGGGGGACAACCTGCGCAGTGAAAAAGTATCCTACCCTGTAGAGGCCCCTTGAAAAAAGTCATACCAGGTCTCTGTGTTTCCTATAGGCACTATATTTTTAACTTTATGTGTTTTTCTATATATGCAATTTAACAAGCTTTGACTTATACTGAAATATTATTTGTAATTTAAATAAATTAAATTAAATTAATAAGGTGAATTAAATAAAATAAATGTAAATTAAATAAATAAAGTCTGTCATGCATTTCTCTGAAAGGTTTTGGATCAAGTGCTTGGTCAGAAATATAGTTTTCCATAAGAAAATTGTTTTTTCATAAAAGTTTCATTTGGCTTATATGTGTGCATATTTATTGCACAGATTTTTTTCTAGAAATGTAATCTGCTCTCACAGTAAGTAAATTAATATTTTAGAGATACCATGTAGTATAGCCTTGGAGAGTTGAGTGTGAAAAGGAGAAGCCAAGTAGAAATGGAATTTGCATTAGCTGATTAATGTTTGAGGATGAATGTTTCTAAAATTAGAGCTTATTAATGCTGAATGTATTGTTAATTGCATGAGAAGCATATGTCTCATGAAAAATAGTTTAATGTTTTAAGCCCATTTTCCTCAATGCGTTCTCTAAACTGTTATACGTGAAATTAATACCATGGCAACCTGACAGAACTTTGTATCTGATAAGGACTTAACAGAAAAACCTATTTGTAAAGAAAAGTGTGGTTCTTTTTGTCCATATGCACTTTTCTTTATTGGTTAGACATTCCTAAAACTGAAATGACTGTACTTTTCTCAAAAATGTCCCTTTCCTGATGTTTTCTGTGTCCCATCTGACTTTGGATCTGACTAGATGGAAAGCTAAAGCTATTTACATGAACGGATGGGGTTGCAGGATCACGTGCAAAGGCTGAGGCATTCTGCAAGGAAGTTTTGTGGTGACGACGAAAACTAATATCCCAGGGGTAGTGAAATAGTGAGATAGACAGTGAAAATAGTCATCCCAGACAGTTAATTAAATTTTGATCTATGAGCTGAGTGGTCTCTTCTGACGCATAAAGATGGGCTCTTTTTTTTTAAGTTTACATTTTGATAAAATTTGCTTTTTTTTTGATCAGGTAAATCTCTTGTTTGAATGCAATTATTCGTTTATTATTTGTATCTTTCGTTTAATAAATGGCTGTTCTGTACCTGAATATAACCTCACCATCCACTTTACCAGTCGGATTTATGGTTGAGATTTTTAAAAGGAATGGTAACACACACACACACACACCCCCACACAAATATTCCCTCTTCGCCCTTGACACCCCTGCCCCAGCTATCATGTTCCCTCAAACACGTATTTGTATTTTTCTAGGTTATCTTCTTGCCCCATGTTCTAACTTAACTGCCACTCACTTTTCAACACCCCCACCAAGACTTCCACCCACTTTCCAGAAGCTGTTCTCCTCTTCCTTCATCTGCTTTGCCTCCCATTGACACTGGATCCTATCTCCCATTGACCACTTCTCTCATTTTGCCTGCCGCTGGTGCTGTCTTGGTTCTCTCCTTGGTGGTTTCTCTTAGTTTCTATGGCGGGTTTCTTTCCCTCTGCCTGCCCATCAAATGAACATGATCCCCAGGACTCTGTCTGTGGACCTTTTTTCTTCCCAATCACTCAGGCTGTGCGTGTTTTCTGAGTAACTATCAAATGCCCAGCAGTGAGCTAGGTGATGGGGATTCCCCAAGGAACAAGTCACTCCTGGGTCTTGTCGTTGACAAGTTTACTGTTCAGAGATGGAAAGGAGGGGTGGGAGATGGTGTGAACAGAGAAATACCAGGTACTTTCCAAGTCAGCCAGCCCTGGTGGACTAGTGGTTAAGATTCAGCACTCTCACTGATGCACCCTGGGTTTGTTTCCCGGTCAGGGAACCACACCACCCATCTGTCGATTGTCAGAGTGTGGCAGCTGCATGTTGCTGTCATGTTGAAATCTATGCCAACGGTATTTCAAATATAGCAGGGTCACTCATCCTGGACAGGTTTCAGCAGAGATTCCAGACTAAGACAGACTAGGAAGAAGGACCTGGCCACCCACTTCTGAAAAAATTGGCCATGAAAACCTTATAAAGAGCAGCAAAGCATTGTCTGATGTATCGTAGGAAGGTGAGAGGATGGCTCAAAAAGACTGGGCAGAGTTCTGCTCTGCTGTACACAGGGTCTCTAGGAGTTGAAATCAACTTGATGGCACTAACAACAGAAAACTGTCCAAGTCACTTGGAAAGTGGGTTGGGGGATATTGGGGACACAGAGGAGAGTCACCAACACAGATGTGGGAGTCAGGTCAGGAATACTGCTTGGAGGAAGTGGCATCTACACTAAGATCTGTTGGATAGTGCTAGTTAATCAGGTGAAGGGAAGGGGACATGGGAGAGAACTCCAAGTAGAGGGACACACAAAGCAAAGGCAGAAAGGCATATGTTTTGTTCAGGGAACCAAAAATAGTACGGTCTGGCTGAGATAGGGAGTGGAGAGCGTGATCATGGCTTGAGAGGTAAATGTGGGCTAGCTCATGAGGAACATTTTAGGCTGTATTAAGGTGTTTGGACTTTAACCTAAAGGCACTGAAGAATTTCTGAAGTGTTGTAAGTAAGGATGATGAGAGTTAATTTTAGAAAAATCAGTCTCCTGCCAGAAAACAAATGTGAGAAACAAGACTAGCAGCAAAAATAAAATTTGGGAAATTATAGAGAAATGATGGTAACCTGGACTAGGGTATTGGCAGTGGCACTGGGGAGGAGCAGTTTGAAAGAGTTATTTTGGAGCTAAAATAAACTGGACTCTCTCCGAGGACGAAGGAGATTACTGGCTTGAGTGAAGGGACAGATGGTTGTGTCATTAATGAAACAGTGTAGGTCTGTGAGAGGGCATTTGTTTGGAGATATTCAGACCCTTAAATGCATGTGGGACATATGTCTAGGTGGACATGTCTAGTAGGCAGTGAGATATGGGCAGCAGAGCTCAAACCCATGTAGACACCACATTCTGTGTATTCTACATATTTGAACCCACCTCCCATGCCCACTGCTAGGATGACCTTTCTAAACAGAGTTCAGAATGCTTTGGGGACCACTTGTAGCCCACAAGCCTACCTCTTGTGGTACCTGGCACATAGTAGGTTTCAATAATTTCTTATCAAGTGAGTAAAGAGTTTCTTTAGTTTTATTTAAATGGTCTCTTTCCAATGATCAATTCATTTTTTATCATCTGAGAATCATGGCCTTTAGCAGTTATATAAAGGTATATTTTTGCAACATGAATTTATTGACAGGCAGCCTGGTTTCTCCTGTAATATTTGAATGAGCTCTCTAACAGTGTACTAATGAAAGCAGTGGATGAAATTGAATTAGCCCACACTTGGATGGGCACAGAACATGAGGAGGAATTGCAAATCTGAGCATCCCGCTGTGCCTGGAGTAAAATCTGAAAGCAGAGCATGATTTCAGACTTCTGGGTCTTATTTACTCTGGGCATAATTGCCTTTACTCTTTCTGGAGATGCTTCACTCCCCAGCTGTCCCCACCAGGGCTCTCTCTGTGAGAGGTGGAGGGCGGTGCTTGGCTCACTCCCATGATCTGCTGTTATTATTTCACAGACAGGATAATAGTATAGAGCTGAACGTGTTGTATGCTTTGTTTTTGTTTGCTTTTTTTTTTTTAATTTATTTTTTTGCTTGTTTTTCCTCCTGGGAATAACAATTCTCAGTACTGTGGAAGGAAGAAACTTAGTGACTCCATTGGAAATAAAACCTTTGGACTTAGAACATATATTCTTGGTGTATTTAATTATTCACTGGGAGCCACTGAGAAACCCA